CGAGTCAGCGATGGCTGGGCCCCGAGCACTCGTGTCCGGTGCCCCTGGTGGTGTTTCCTGGTTCCCGGGCCTGGGCCGCTGTCTCCCAGGCTGCACTGAGCAGTCCCTGTGCTCCGCTCCAGCCGCAGGGCTCCTGTCAGAGCGAGCTGCACCGCGCCCTGGAGCGGCTGGCCGCCTCGCAGAGCCGCACGCACGAGGACCTCTTCATCATCCCCATCCCCAACTGCGACCGCAACGGCAACTTCCACCCCAAGCAGGTGGGCTCTCGGGGTCCCTGCCCGTCCACCGGACAGCTGGAGGGCGGTGTAGGGGGACCCTCAACCCAGACCTGACCCTTGGGCCCCCAAGTCCCATCCTTTCGAAGATGAAGACACCGGGCCCGGGAAGACCCCAGGTTGCTGAGTGAGTTCATGACACGCCCTACCTCCTGGCCAAATGCGAACTACTATTATTCTAGGAGTTGAACTCTGGGCCTTAAACACTCTACCACTAATCTACATCCTCAGTTTTTTTTTGGGAAACAGTCTCTAAACTGCCTAAGCTGGCCCTGACCTTGGTTGGGATCCTCCTGCTTCAGCCTCCCGAGAAGCTGGGATTATAGGTGTGCGCCGCAAGGCCCAACTTGGTTTCCCCTGCTGTTGATATCTTATATGAGGGTGGCACTCGTGATGCATTTGATAAGCCAATACTGATAGATGATTATTGCCTGAAGTCCAGAATTCACATCAGGGTCACTCTGTATGTTCTCCGATCCACGTGGGCTTTCACTGTCCAGTTCTTGTCAAAGTGGAGGCGGTGATGTTTGATCCTCTGTTCCCAGACCAATTCTGGCCCTGAAGCTAAGTCCATTCCCACTTGGATTCTGACTCTGACCCAGACGCTAGGTGCTCTGTCCTTTACCAGCTGTCTTCGCCCACCTGGGCTGTAAGCCTCAGCTGAGTCCAGTTTGAGCTCCAATCCCAAACCCAGCTGCATGCTTCCCCTGCCTCCCCGGCCCCACCCAGGCCTGCTCATGGCCACAGTCCCGTGGTGAAGGTCCCGGCCTCGCCGGGGTGCAGCCTACCCGCGTGGGGCCGGGCCAGCTGGGCTGTCGTTGTGCCCACTCCTGTCCGGCCTGCCGCCGACCCCGTCCTTTTTCTCGGCAGTGTCACCCGGCTCTGGACGGACAACGTGGCAAGTGCTGGTGCGTGGACCGGAAGACGGGGGTGAAGCTTCCGGGGGCCCTGGAGGCCAAGGGGGAGCTGGACTGCCACCAGCTGGCTGGCAGCTTCCGAGAGTGAGCCTGGCACGAACAGGGGCGGTGGAGTTGGCCCAGAAGTTTCTCTTGGGGTGCCTGTGTGTGTGTGTGTGTGTGTGTATGTGCGTGCGTGTCTCTGTGTGTGCACATGTTATGGACACGAGTGTACTCAATGTCCTTTGGGGCTTAGCCCGAGAGGTTTGAGTATGCAGAGGGGAGTGCTGACGTGTTTCCAAGCTGACCCTGGGTTCTTTCGCTTACCCGTTCACCCACCTGAAAACATTTATTGATCACATACTATGTACCAGCGCTAGTTCTCAGTTCTGGGAGCCCCCTCCTGACTCCCTGGGAAGGTGGGAGAAGCGAAGCCTGCTTCCCAGAGAAGAAGCAGAGGCTGGGAGTCGCGGGGAGGGCACAGGCACTCGGGGGCACAGACCAGGGCCCCTCAGCAGTCTGCCCTCAGAGGGTGTGTTGGGCTTTGTGTGCGGTCGTGGGTCCCGTCCGTCTGCCCTGGTGGTCACAGCCACGGAGTCACCAGGGGACCCCTTCCTGGCTCCCTGTTCCCAGGGCTTTTCCGGCTTGGCTGGAGGGCAGGAGCCTTGGGGAGCGCTTTGCTGCCTGCGCTGTCTTTCTTTTCTTTCCTTTCATTCATCCATTTTTTTTTAACAAAACAGAACAAAACCAAAAACATCCCCATCATTGTGTTGCTTGACTTATTTACAGAGGCGCCACAGGGGTGGAGAGAGTGGGTGTGGTGTGGAGCCCAACTGTGCCCTCCTGGCAGCTCCTGGTGCTCGGAGCCCTGGGGGGCAGGTGCCAGCTCTGGGGGGAGGGAGGAGGGCCAGGGCCAGGACCAGCTGGTGTGTGGAGCCCGGGCGTCCTGCAGGGCACAGGGCAGCTGGCTCCGCAGCAGGATTTGGTCTACTGTCGCGGGTGGGGTGGGGGAGAGGGAGTGGAGGACACCTTGCCTTCAATGTCGGCTTAATATTTGCACCCAGGTAGCCCTTTTCATTTTGTCGTGCAGACTTAGCCTCGAATTTGCCATCTTCCTGCCTCAGCCTCCCAGTAGTTGGGATTACAGGTGGGTGCTTCCGTGCCCAGCCTGACATCGGGTGCTCGTGGATTCTTATATCTCCCAGGGCCCCTCCTCCTCCTCAGCCTCTGGAAGGGCTGCCAGGCACGGACCTCACTGCCCGCCCCACCGCCTTAGTTCGCGTGGGGCCTGCACAGGAGCCTGCCAGCCCAGGCGCCAGGGAAGATCAGCAAAGGGCGGGGTGCAGGGTGCAGCCCCGCCTGGAGCCCTGGCTGTGACCTCGG